CTATACAAGAATGAGACAGAAAATGGCTTTTTATACCCCCCATTTGTACTTATAGATATGAATTATATAAATCAACCACTTTGAAAATTTAAAATAATAGAGAAATCTCCTGAAATAGTTTTTGTTTTGAGACAGGGTCTCCCTATGGCCCCAGCTGGCCTGGAACTTGCTATGAAGACTAGGCTGGCCTTGAACTCACAGAGATCTGTCTGCCCCTGCCTCCCAAATACTGGGATGAAAGGTGTGCACTACCATGCTTGGCCTCTCCTGAAATTTTAAGAGAAGTGCTAACTCCAACCATCTTGACAGTAGACTGATTCATATATATATATGATATGTACATTTAATATTTACTTTCCCCCAAAACTAGGTATATCAATTTGGCAAATGGCAGAGTATATATCAAAGACGGGACGTACCATACGAAGGTGGGACTTCATAATTCTTAGCCATGAATTTAAAACAATGAACACATACCACACGTTTCTTGTAAGCATTTGTTTGAGGCATGTTAGTTTGCAATCATCATGTGACTTGATCTCTTGTATATAATAAGGGCTCAAACTTTAAAAACTGCATTTTCTTCATCGAGGAAGCACTGCTAAGGGAGACTGAATCTTAGCTGTCTGCATCTTCTAAGTGATTTGATTCACTGTGAACTCACACTCATGGACTAAGAGTAGTTGACAAACAATACATCTTACTTGTTTAAAAGACACAGTTTGATTAATCTTGACATATTCAAAACATGGAATCATTCCTATATCCAAGATAATAAACATGTCCATTACCTCTAAAAGTCTGTCTTTTTTTAAATTGATTTTTTTGTGTATATTTCATACAGACTATCCCAAACAATCTCATTCATCTTTATACCTAAATGACACCCTCCTATAGCCCTGCTCCCAACTGGAACCCATATACTCTGTCACCCCTCTTACTGTCCACTGTCTTTTATGGTCTTTCCCTCCATTCCTTGATCCTCCAGGCAACCAACAATCAGCTGTTACCCTACATTAGTTTGACTTTTCATTTTATAAAAATGATATGTGCATCTTTTTTTGTTTGGTTCTTTAGTTTACCATTGTGATGTTTAATATTTACCCCACACTGTATATTTAAATTCCATTCCTTGTTGTTGAATAAACGTCCATCATATGGTTAATATGGTTAATCAGAATTTATTTATTCCATCACCTGCTGATAGGCTTTGGATTGTTTCTGATGAACCACCAGGGTTATTTTATATCTTCACAGTATTATGAGAAAGTCATTATTTCTCCTAATTTTATAGATGGAGAATGGAAGACTCTAGAAGATCAAGTGTTTGTCTAAGGTACAAAGACAAATGAGCATAGAACCTTAAAGTATAATATTCAGCTGAACTAAAGGGACACAAGAGTTTCCCCCTCAATCATCATCAACTGTTTGCTGCTGAGATTTAAACTGTGGTCCACAATTATTAGAAATTAGACATTTGTGGGCTGGAGAGATGGCTCAGTGGTTAAGAGCACTGACTGCTCTTGCGGAGAACCAGGTTTGACTCCCAGCACCCTCATGATGGCTAACAACCATCTGTAACTCCAGTCCCAGGGGATCTGACCCCCTCTTCTGACCTCATGGGCATTGCACGACACAGGTACACTTCCACACATGCAGGCAGCACATTCTAACACAGACAAAATAAAAATAATAAATAGAATATAAAAAATAATTAGACATTTGTTTACATTTTTGGTCTTTTGAGAACCCCGAAGCCTGATCCTAGTGACATAATTCCTCCAGCAAGGCTACACCTCGTAAACCTCCCCAGAGAGTGCCACCAACACTGTGGGTGTTCAGATCCCTGAGCCTGGGAGGGATGATGATCATTCACATCTCACAGTGTCATTGCTACTGCAGGTTTCTTCCCAGTTCTACACTCAGCAACATAATGTTGGTAGCTTGAAACCATCCTTGGTGGGAATCCAAAGCCTGATCCTAGTGACATAATTCCTCCAGCAAGGCTACACCTCGTAAAACTCCCCAGAGAGTGCCACCAACACTGTTGGTGTTCAGATCCCTGAGCCTGTGAGGGATGATGATCATTCACACCTCACAGTGTCATTGCTACTGCAGGTTTCTTCCCAATTCTACACTCAGCAACATAATGTTGGTAGCTTGAAACCATCCTTGGTGGGAATATTTATACCATAGAAACTGGCAAATGCTGTGAATCACAATACAGTTCATTACTTTCTGATTATGTAGACTTAGGGATGTGTTGGAGAAGGCGATAATAATGCAACTACAGCCATTGCACTGTGACTAGCACGTGCTTGGGAAATAACCTTTCATTATCTGAAAACCATTACACAGTTCAGCAAAGAACTTGTTTCCGTCGGTGATAGATGAGTTGTTCTGGTACCTTTACTGTTTCACTTTCACCTTACTTGTTAATGAAAACAAAAATATCACCCAGTATTCATAGTGAAACCGTTCAGAGAGCCGAGGTTAACAATTTACCAGCACACTGCAAAACAAAACAAAAAACTGCTTTGTGTGCCAATGTCTGTAAGACTGATTTCTGTCTATGCCTTATAGAAAGTCAAAGCCACAGCAAAGGTAAAGCTAGAGATGCTAATTAAAATGTAGAGCTGGTTTTAAGTTTAATGTAATTTTAGAACTATAACACAATAAAATGATTAAAAAATATGTTCGGTGCCAGGCATGGTGGCATATGTCTTTAATCCCAGCACTTGGGAGGTAGAAGCAAGTGGATCTCTTAAAAAGAAAGAAAGAAAGGGAAAAAGAATACCAGAGCTGGAGAAGTGGCTTAGCAGTTAAGGGCACTGGCTGCTCTTACAGAGGACCCAGGTTCAGTTCCCAGCACCCACATGGCAGATGCACTCATACACATAAAATTAAAAAAATTTAAAAGAATGTATATACACACATATATACATACACATACATATGTATATATATAAAATCCCCCTCTTGAAGAGCTATTGACAGCTGATGTTTTCTGAGGGAGGGAGAGTCCATTTTCTTAAAGGGTGTGGCTCCTGGCAGCTTAAACATGTTCTAGTGGATGGCCCCACACCCATGAGTACATGGGCAGCACAAATTGATTGGTCTCAGTGGGTTAGTTTAAAAGAAAAGGAAGACATGAAGTTGGGAGAGGAGTGGGGGCAGGTGAAAGCGCTGGTTGGTTTTGGTCAACTTCGCACAAACCTGGGCATACCTGGGAAGAGGGACCTCAATTGAGGAGTTTTCTCCATTAGATTGGCCTGCGGATGTGTCTGTGAGGCATTCTCTTGACTGCTTGCTGATTGATGGAGGGGGGGGCAAGCCAACCGTGGACAGTGCCATCCCTAAGCAGGTGGTTCTGGGCTGTATAGCAGAGGAACCTAAGCAAGCCAGGGGGAGTGTTCCTCCATGGTCTCTGCTTTAGCTCTTGCCTCAGGGTTCCGGCTTGAGGTCCTGCTGTGGCATCCCTCAGTGATGGGATGCAACCTGTAAGCTGAAACAGACCTTTTCCTTCCCAAGTCATCACAGCAAGGGAAAGCAAATTAGGACAGTGAATATGATCAAAATACTTTGTATAGAGACTGGAGAGATGACTCAGCAGTTAAGAGCAATGGCTGCTCTTGTAAAAGACCAGGGTTCATTTCCTAACACCCACATGACGGCTAGCAACCATAACTCCAGTCCCAGGGAACCTGACTCCCTCTTCTGGTCGATCAGAGCTTAACATACATGGGCATACTTACGTACCTGTATGCAAAACACTCATATATATATATATAAATAAGTAAAAATTAAAATCTCTTTATTGTCATTTTAGAAGGGTTATACCATCAATTTAGTATATTTAGAACCCAACCCCCACACCTAAGGCTCAGGGAACATCTCAGAAGAGAGGGCCAATAGAGCAAGAGGACCAGGATGCCCACTACAAGACAGCATCTTCTAGATATGACAGGGAAACTGTACCCATTAAATCTGAACAGTATGGGTGCTTGCACAAGACATGCACAGTGACCACACCAGTCCACATGCTAATTCACAAGGCCTCATCCCTAGAGAAGAGCTACAGCCCATCCATGGCTGCTAAGGGAGGGAGAATTAGTCTTCTCCAAGAGGTTAACTCTCTGATAGGTTATCCAAGCCTAAGTTGTCAGCTCTAACCACATGTGCACGTGGGCAAAGCTAATTGAACTCAATAGGCTATATATATATATATATATATATATATGTATATGTATATGAAGAGGTCATGAATTTAAGAGGGGTCGGGTGACATAGGACAAGTAGGAAGAGGGAGGGGGAGGGAAGTAATTTTATAAATACAGCATACTCATGCATGAAATTCTCAAAAAAGTAAAAAATTTGCAAAAGATGAAAAAGAGATGTTCTGTCCATAAGTAGAAATGACCCCTATTCTCCCTGCCACCTCATTTTGAATATAAATAGTAATATAAAATAATAAAACAGACAATTTTGCACTTTGTTTCCCTCTACTTATTTTGTCACAAAACTCTATCCCTATCATACCCGGATGGTCTGATATGATAGTGTATGGATGGAGCATCATTTATTTCACTATTATTTTTCCAAACAAATAAATTTTGTTGACATTCAAATTATTTATCCAACACCAAAACACTTTAACATTTACATTGGTCTTTTGGGTTCACTATACTATGAGGAAAAAAATCACACACCTACTCTGAGTAGCGGATACCGTAGTGTGGATTTTACAAAAATCACTTATTAAAATCTCTGTATTATGCTCTTCAAATATCTAGAGTCAGTCTTGCAGAAAGTATCACATCTTTATTTGTTGCCTTGAAATCCTATAGCAGCCTTCAGACATTAAGAAGGTATTCATACTGACCTTGCTATTGTGAAATGTCTCTATTAATGCATCCAACTCTATGATAGTATCTAAAAATTTTTTTCTTCCAAAGTAAATCTCTGACAATATTCTATTCATTTCCTTGATATTCAAAGAATCTGGGCAACATTTGTACTTTATTAGAAAAAATTTTCAATTACCTATCATATCCATGTTATGAACAATGTGTGTTCAAGTCAGTAATACAATTATTGTAAGAGAAGGGTGAGCATGAATAACAGATTGACTCAATTCTGGCAGATGAAAGTGAACACTTTTAATCCAGTCAGTCAGTAACGGGAGAGGGGACAACTTTAGAAACTTTACAAAAGGTCTTTTGCCTCCTGAATGATGGTGACATTCCCTCAGTGTCTGTGCTTTCTACGACCACTGGTTCAATTTCTGTATCAGCAGCTATGTCAATCTTGTTTATCACCCTTAAGGTAAACAAGTTTATCTTCAATAGTTTTCATCTTCAAACAGTTTTTCACAAAGTTGAACCTGGTTCTGTATTGGTAAAGGCAATGACTGAGCATATCTCTATTTTTACCATTAACCCGAACAACATTATTTTTTTGTTGTGAAGTGGCTTCTTCATCAGCATGAGGAGGAGACCCAAGTGGTTTGAATTCTATCTTGTCCAAGTGATTTCCGTTCATTTCTCTGCAGAAATAAAATTCTTTGTCACCCCTAGCCCTTTGCTTCTCCAAGAGTTCTCTGTAGTCATCAAGATCTACCTCTGGGAACTAACTTCCTTCCTTCCTTCCTTCCTTCCTTCCTTCCTTCCTTCCTTCCTTCCTCCTTCCTTCCTTCCTTCCTTCCTTCCTCCTTCCTTTCTTTTCATATGAGGACCTAAAGCAGCCTTCTCTCCCCCC